TTTTTTTGTTTTTTGAAATAATACATTCTCATTTTACCAAAGCACTCAGGGTCTGTTATATGCAAGAAGACTTGCAGTATGTTTAAGACTGCAAAAGCTCCAGGAGTGAGGGAAAAAAGAATGGGCAGTCATTTGAATCAGTGAGTGACAGGCTGGGGCAGCTCTCTGTATACATTAATAAATTAGAATTTTAATTGTGTCTCTGACTGCCGGAGCTGCTCCAGTACTTTAATATGTACCAACAATTGGCTATGTTATGGAATCTGCAATGTGGCCTTCACTGTTGACCTCTGCAACACAATTCCCAGTCTGACTACGGAAACTGTTTGGTTTGATCCTTTCAACTTATTTGAATCCTGACAAATAAGCTCACAGCTGAAAGGTCAACACAGTCATATTTCATCCTCTGGAGCTATTCTTAAGACATCTGCACAACAAAGCACTTCTTTTACTACCTGACACTGGACCTAGCCAGCACAATATCTCATTAAAAATGTCCCCAGCGGAAGAGTCTATTAAAAGGCATATGGATCAGCTATGGATTTACCAAATAAAATGTTTTTGGAAGTGTTAATATAACAGTTTGAATTACAGTGCTCCACACTTCCAATAAAATTTATATTTGCCCATTGACAAAACGATTCATACTTTCCAAAGGAATAATAGTTTAGATATAGAGAGAGGTGTTGCCCAGCAGACAGGGTTGGGAGCCAGGAATTCATGCATCCTAATCCCACCTCTAAAATTTCCTTCTGTGATTTTAAGCACGTCATTCAACCTGCCTGCCTCAGTTTCCCCATCCAACACTGATAATGGTACTTACTTATTGGACTGTCCTCCTGAAGATGTTTTGGGGATTCATATTTACACAGCACTTTGAAGATAAAGTCAATACTTAAATGCTACAAATTACCATTACTGCACCAAATTCTTCAGTTAACACTTAATGCTTACTCAGGCAAAACTCCCACTTGAATTTATTGGGACTGCAGAATTTTGCCCATAAGCTTTATTTTCAAGGTCTGTAGCGATGTTGGCTTTATCTTTCATATTTTACTTCACGTTTAAAGGACAACAGAATCTCTACTTGGGGAAGAAAAGAATCTGAATCACATATACCCAATGAAAGGCAAGAGAAGAACTAATGCTGTCAGAGAACTAGGGTTGATAGTACAGCAAATAAAAACAAACAAGAAAAGACCAGTATAATTTTGGGCTACAAAGGCAGAAACATCAGAGCACAGAACAGTGAGAAAATAGCCCCTCTCTGGAGGGCTCTGATGTGGCTCTACTTGAACTCCTGCATTTAGTTATGGACATCTCATTGCCAGAAATACATTGAGAAACCGGAATTCAGAAGGGAACAACAACAAAAGTTATAATCATTAATAAATAAGAAAAATGATCAGGGGTCTGGAAGGGTTGATTTATTAGAACAGATCTAAAGAATTAAAGACGTACAGTTGGGTGAAAGAGGCAGCTATGTAGGGGACATGGTAACATCTACACATTTGAAGAGTTTGAACACGAAGAATGGAGAGTAATTGTTTAGAGCAGCAGTTCTCCAACTTCAGCAACCCGAGGACCCCCATTTTGATTTAAAATTTTTCAGGGACCCCCAAGCCTCCCTGCTCAGCCCCAGGCCTTGACCCCACTCCACCTCTTCCCCCAAAGCCCCACACCTGCCCCACCTCTTTCCGCTCTCCACTCACTCCATCCTCCTTCCCTCCCTTGCTCTCCCCTACCCTCACTCACTTTCACCAGGCTGGGGCAGGGGGTTGGGATGCAGGATGGACTGCGGGGTGTGGGCTCTGGGCTGGGGTAGGGAGTTGAGAGGGGCTGAGGGGTGGTGCTTAGCCCGGGCAGCTCCCGGAAGTAACCGGGACATCTCTCGGGCTGCGGCTACCAGGCAGGGAGGGAAGGGGGCAGGGAGTCTCCATGCGCTGCCCCTACCTGCAGGCACCGTCCCACAGCTTCCATAGGCTGGAGCTGCGGAGTTGGCACTCGGGATGGGGCAGCACGCAGAGACATAGCCCCCCACACCAGGGGCTGCAGGGATGTGCCGCTGCTTCCGGGAGCGGAGCAGAGCCAGGGCAGGCAGGGAGCCGGTCTCAGACCTGCTGAGCCTCCAGAGGGGGAGGAGTTGATCAGTGGAGGCCACAGACCCCCCACGGTCTACAGACCCCAGTTTGAGAAACACTGGGTTTAGAGTGTTACAAGGACTGTAATTTAGACAAATGGGATGAAATTAAGAAAAGGATAATTTAGGAACTAGGGAATATTTCCTAAGTGTCATGTTATGTTACGGAATAGTATTCTAAAGAGAGTCCTGCTGTTACTTCAGGCTTCTAAATACTAGAATGGCAAAAACAATAGGAAATGTAATGTAGGGAACAATCCTATATTGTCATTAACCAGATGACCTATTTGATCTCTCATATCTCTAGCTCCATAATTTAGCCATGCTGATAAGTAGGCTACACCAAAAACCACACATTTATGCATACATCTTTTATTTGGAGATAGTCTATTGATTTTAGCCTTCTGAATTTGTAACAACCCCACAAAGCCTAATAATATTTAGGCTTCCTAAAGTAACTGCAAATATAGCACCCCTGTTGGGGCTGTGCAGCCCAAAATACAGTAAAAAATGATGATAGGATATCATAATGGTTTCACAGTCCTCTTGACACAGCAAATTGATGGTTTGGGTGAACATGGAATGTAAACGGAACAGTCTTCAAATAAAAATGTTCAAGTCTTACAACAACGGACCAGTAAAACAAAACAAAAAAAATCATTCACTTTTGTGATAAACCTTCTCCACCAATAAAGACATGTTGTCAAAGTATGTCTACATTATGGCCGGGATTTCTGAAAAGTACCCAGCATTGTCCTCACTCTTTGCCCACTGAAGCCAACGGGAGTTTTGGCATTGACTTCAATTGAAACCTATTAGGCCAAAGCAGAGAACTTTGAAAAATCTCAGCCTAAATTAATATATTACATTGTTCCTTATCTTTAATTAGCAATGTATTTGCATACACACACACACTTTTCTTACCTGAAGGGCTGGTTGTTTGTCATTCCTCTTGGGTGACTTTAATCCACTAACTTGTTGCTGCTGCTGTTGCTGCAGTAGAAACTGTCGTGCCACCTGCAGAGCCTGGAAGAAAAGAATTTTAAAAATGGAGTTTGTACTGTACAAAATTTGGGAAGCGGCATGCATAGTATTTGATCAGGACATCCCTTTGAACATCAGACATTGATCTACTCCCAGAAGCACACTCACCAAAGAAATCCTGAGGCATGTGTGTGCTCGTACTACAGTGGCCTCCATTAAAAATCTGAGCACTCACACACAATGTTGTGACATACCAGTTATCTCCCATTTTAACCATAGGGAAATACAAAAATAGTAGAGTTACTGTTACTATGTGGTAACTGTGGGTAACTGCTGATTTTTCCATGGTGACTACTATAGATTTATCTAACTGTATGTAGCTGGAAAAGCCCAGACATCCATCAGATTGGCTTGGATGTTGGGTCCTGGGGAAATGGCTTACTATAAAGACTTGGCAGGCTTCACACTCTTTTTGTTCCTGTTATGGTCTGGAGTTTCTACAGCAAAGCAGGGCAGTTATAACTGGATTGTCCCTTCTGGGAAAGGTGTTAACACATGTGCTGTGGGTCATGATAACTGGTGCAATCCTCCTAGGGCCAGCATAGGCAAGAGAGGATTCTGGGAAGTTACCACAGAAGGAGCAGCTAGAGGCAGTGGCATTAGGCAAGAGAGATGCAACGCAATAAAAGGAGACATTCAGGCTCAAGAGGCACCTTTTGTTTTATGTCAATAACGCTTCTCTGTAAAGGCTCGGTTGGTAGTGGGAGCCATGTAAAGGTAAGGGGGAGAGAGGGCAGAGAAAAACAGCCAAAGCAGAATGTGCTGTATCTCTTGCACCCAAAAAGAGTCTGACAAGATTGTAGCACATCAACTACAGAGCCCACGAGAAAGCTTCAATGGGAGGTGAATAAAGAGCAACCAGGGAACGCTGTATCTTTAAGAGGGGACTCAAGAGTGAGGCCTGATTCCTGGGAGAAAGGTGAGAGACAGATCAGATGGTGCTGGAACATTTTGAAACAGGCTCCCACCACTGAGAAAGGGGCTCAGAACTGGAGCCAGGCAGCCGTGAAAAGTCTACACTGCTTGATGAGGTGGCGGAAAGAAAGGGAGGAGGAGACAGAAAATGGGAAGAATGTCCCTCCCCCTAGCCCATTTGCAGATGCTTGGTGCACTCACCAGCATTTCAGATGCAAAGGAGAGGGGCCCCTGGAGAGAGCCTGCCTGCAAGAGCCAAAGACTATCTGCAGTGGACATTTGGAAATTAAGATGCCTAGAAGTGTTGCCTGGGACTCTAGCCTGCTGTCTCCTTGGAGATGTTCAGTACATGTGTAGGTGTAAAAGTGGGCAGACTGAAGACTTCATTAATATAAAACAAGAAAAATAGTCCCAATGCAAGATGTCTACATGGAAGGCAGGAGAGAGACTGCCACACTCCTACTGTGTATGCTCTTGGAGACATTTATTTAATGCACGTTCGATGGAGGAATGAAATTTGTTTAGGGGTTTCACTATTTGTGTGTGAAATGAATGGCTTCTTCTACGTGTAAAGTGTTAAATGTACAGCATAGTTCCTAGATCAGCTGGGAACTGCTTGACAATGAGGCAAATTTCTACATGAAGAGACTCACTGACTTCAAAGGGGCTCCCGAGGAAGTTCAGCACCGCACAGGATGGTGCCCTCAAACAGCAAGATGTTACTCTCTTTTAAACAAAAACAACAAGGAGTCTGGTGGCACCTTAAAGACTAACAGATTTATTTGGGCATGAGCTTTCGTGAGTAAAAACCTCACTTCTTCTTTTAAACACACACCTTCAGGACCAAAGCCTTGCATCACAAAGGGGCATGACAGTCATTGAAGCTGGCCCGTGGGGATTTCCCTGGAGGGAGTGAACCCCCAGGTGGCAAACAGCCAGTGAGGCCTGTTCTAACATCTCTCCCTCCCTGTCCCCAGCACTGAAGCGGTGAGGAAGGGAATGTTGGTTGTAGCACCACTGCACTACAGCAATCAACCACTGGTAAATTAGTCCATGGGGTTGTTCGGTTTCTCCATCCATGGGTTGGGACCCAATATTAGGTTGCCAGAATGTTTCAAAGGGTCTCGTGGCCTTTCCTGCGGCTCCCATCCCACAGCGCTGGCTGGGCTCGCCTCCCAGCTCCAGGCACTGCAACCTCCGGGGTCCCAGCACCGCTCAGGTTCGGCCCAGCCGTCATGACGACGGGCGTCTGGGTAGGCCTAATCTGAGTGAGTGGCACTGCAACCCCATGAGTCCGCTCCACTCACAGAAATTTGGTCCAATCAGAGGGTGGGCCTTAACCTGAGCAGCACTGCAACCCCAGAGGTTGCAACGCCCAGAGCCACACTCAGCCAGCCCCACAGCACAGGAACTGCAGGAGCCACCACTGTGGGGTGAGTGCTGGGCAGGACCCAACCCCCTCCGGGGGGCAGGATTGGACCGAAATCACCCCAGGGCCTCCACCCCCAGACTATTTACTGGGTCGTGACAGGACACTGACATTTACAAATAGGTCCCGAGCTCCAAAAGGTTGAGAACCACTGCTCTAAACCATGCTGTGAGGGGCAGAGAAAAAGGCTCAAGATAGGGGAGGCACAAACAGCTTCCTCCTGCTTCATCAGCACCGAGTGCTTACTGAGTGCAGCTAAGGATTTTGTCTCTTCTCTTTTCTCCGGCTCCTGCCCTTGATTTCAGTGGGAGGGGAAGGTACACATTGGATTTCGGGAACCACTCAGCATCTTGCAGAATTGGGCTCCTGGAGTGCTGAGAGTTTTGCTGTGCCTTTGTTTAATGGCTGATTTGCCAGCGCACTATGGAGGAGACCCTCCCCTCGTATCCTGCCTTCATTCCCCTTGATAGCATTGTTTTCAATACACGCTTTAATAACACGTCTTCGTCAGATCGGTAGGATTTTAAATGTGGCTGTGATTTCCAGCAGAGATTGGCGGGATAAAAGTAAACGTAAAATCAGATTCTAAATTTAGGGATAGCTATTCAAAGCTCAGTGCACCTGCCACACACGGAAAAAATGGCATTTTGACATGCATGTGTAGCTGAGTCCTGTGATCCTTAAAGGGTGCAAGGAGCGTGAGAAGCTGTCAACTATGCACACAAATCATATCTTCAAAGAAATTGTGTGTGTGTGCGCACACGTATACATGTGCAAGGACTACTCCGGTAGTTCAGCCTATAGGACAGAAAGATTCTATTGGCCATGAATTAATAAAATCCAGCAGGAACGACTGGGAGATCTTTCTGTGGAACTTGCTATGTACAGTGAAGACAAAATATTATTTTTAGGCTTCAACTGATTAGATTTTTAGCTGTAAATGTTAATAAACGTCAATTTCACCATACTCATAAAACAAGGAAAATAATATTTCCATTGATGAGAATCAAAATTTACAGATAGACAAAGTAAGAAAAATGCAGCTGGAGAACTTATTAGAGTTTGATTTAGGGGCATTTACTTTATGTAATTACTTATGTGATGTTGACAATTTGTGTTTAATAGTTATATAGCTTTAGCTTTTTGAATCCCAACATCTACAGTGATTAAATAATTATCTAACCCCCACATAATTCCCCACAACTGTGAAAATGTAAATCAATACACACAGAAAAATGCTTAGATCCCTTAATCTTGGCCACCGTGAAAATTTAAATTGATAAAAAAATTTAAATGCTAAAATTAATCAATATTATGCTTTGCAATTATATTTAATAAATGAATTCCTCCAAGTCAAGTTATTTCTATTTAATTAACCTGGTTAGTAGTTAAAATGCCTCAAAGGGTGGGTCAGGAGCAGCAAACAGATTCCTACATGGTTTATGGGGATGGACAAAGAATACTCACCTACTTAACAGGGGTGTTGTGCGGCTTATTTAATTAATGAATACTTGGTAAAGCGCTCTGACTTTCTCAGACAAGAAATGCCATACAGTACAAGTGCAACATATTATTATATATTATTAAGACTGGCTCTGCAGAAGAATAATTCCAGATAAATGTGCAATCAAATGATCATTTTAGTTCCCAGTAATTAGATTCAATAGGCCAAAAAAAAAAAAAGAAAGAAAAAACCCACACACAGGAGCCTCTCTTTAAACATATATCAAACAATCAGCACATCCATAACCTTTCAAGCTACAGCCTTTTTGAATAAAACATCTTCAGCTTATAGATATTATTCCAAAAAGAACCAGCCACCATATGTGTTGTCTCTTTGAAATACAGTTGCTATAGCAGACCTTGCATGCATTTCATGTGATATGATCATATTCTATCCGTTCTGGCAGCTGAGAGGTTGCACAACTAAAACTGGCTGCCAGAAATTTTTGAAGATCCCCAGAACAACTAGCCGTGCAAGAAACGACTGGTTTCTACTCGAGCTGGCTGTGAAACTCTCTGCAGCCAGACGGATGATTGCTGTGATCATGAAGCCTTAAAGCTGCTCTCTCCAAGTGGAAGAGCCCTGCCCCAAAGCTGGACAGCTACGCACTGCCTGACCCAAGCTCAGTGCTTTGGTCAATTAGCTGGTCAGGTAGATTATGAGGGTAGGGAGCAGCTGAAAAGCAGCTCTCCATTCTAGGGTTGCCAATTCAGGTTGGACGTATTCCTGGAGGTTTCATCACACGACATAATCTTTAATTAAAGATTAACCTTTAATTCCTGTAGACTCCAACGCAATCCTGGAGGTTTGGCAATGCTACTCCATTCCCATACCCCAGTCACGTGCCTAAGTGGTGAAGACCTGAGCATAGGTGACCAGATAGCAAGTGTGAAAAATTGGGACAATGGGTGTGTGGGGGGGGGTAATAGGTGCCTATATAAGACAAAACCCCCGATCACTGGGACTGTCCTTATAAAATCAGGACATCTGGTCACCCTACTTGAGCAAGGACAGAACCAAACCCTTGCTCAGCAGGCTGGACTCCTTCCCTACCCTCTCCAGCTGCTGAGATCCATGCAACTGAGTGAGGGCAGAGCTGACCCTCTGATTACTTCATACTGCTCTTTCCTGTCC